TTTCATGGTATGTAGATGAAATATATTAATTAGGATATGAAACTATTGAGTTCAAACCAGCCTTTGAGCCACACATTTTCTGCAGACTTCTCTCTAGCCAAGAAATCTTAATTCCGCATTGCAAAGTTTTGAAAACTATGAATATTCCACACATTATAGTGGAGAGCACTTCTCCCCACCATCTATACTGAGACATATATTTATTAAGTGCTGACAGTTAACTTTCACAAGACTCCCCGGGAGATCTGGTCCTTATTCTGTGAATTTACAAAAACCGGGCTGAAGGAGCCAGGAAACACAACTGTATTTTATTATTATTTAAATAATGAATTGGTAATAGCATTTCACTCCAAAGCAATGGTAAGCCTTGCAGGCAAATGCCGCATTCAGTAAAGATTTGAAAATTATTTTTGTTTAAATAACAGCTGGTCTTGCCTATATGGACTTAAATGAGCCATGTGGAGACAAACTTGTTTCAGTTTAGGTAAGAAAGATTAAAAAACATTAATTCTAGTTAATATCCATTTTGGTCCCTCTACACAGATGGGAAAAATAACATTAAATTACCATGCTTACATACAGTCAATACCAGACACCCAATAAAGCACAAATTCAAAGCCCTGCTCGTAACGCAACTGATGCACACAGTTGCAGCAGAACAGCTCAGCTGCGAGTTAGCCTGAAACAAAGGAGATTTACATGCATTTCTCCACTTCGCCACAGACTTCCTGCGTGACCTTGGACAAGTCACTTGGTTTTTGTGTGCTGCAACTCCCCATCCCTAAAATGGGGAAAAACATTTATTTCATAACCTCACAGCAATTAGCAGATTTACTATCAGGAGATGCTTAGATACAGAGGTCAAATAAATGACATAAAGAGAATAAACAGTACTTAAAGCTTTAATTAACTTCTGTTAAAGCTTTAGAAATCTTGTCACAGTGACAGAAGGAAAGCTTTGGCACAATACAAGTGTTATCTACAAACAAAGATCAGGTCTGCCTACGTAGCAAGATGGAACCGTATTTTGACATCTGCAGACAGTCGCGGACACAGACTTCCATGACCCAACGCACAGACACGACACGCTCCTCTATCACTAACATACAGAGAAGACCAAAAGTCCAAAGTCTCTAGGTACCTTCTCTGAGTTCTAAAACAAGAGTTATAACTTTCTGATATAACAAAAAGTAGGAAAAGAAATCACCAGGTACCCTCTTAAAAGATTTGAAATACTTCAGGTCCAAACAGTTATTCTCCAATTCGTATTAACCACTAACCACCCTTTGAACTTGAAAGCCACAAGTTTCATAACTCAGTATTAATATCAGAAGTCAAATCATCTTGCAGACAACAGAAAATTAAAGGCCTCTAGAGCACCAGCATACCGAAAAACGATGAAAAGGTAAGAACCACTCAGAAGTAGCCGAACGCTACACATATACTACACTAAGACACTTATGAGGACAGCATTGCCTCCATCAGGAATCCACAAATTTGTAAAGTGTATTAAATGTATCTCTTTAGAAAATGTCTTCAAGTCCAAAAATCTACTCTTTGAATGCAGGCCAAACGTATACTGCATTTCCATGCACATATTCTGCATCTCTGCACAAGTAACTGTACTAGCCTGCGTAAAATCAAAATTACAGCCTGGGGAGGGAGACATGAGGGGCAAAGGTACTACATGGGATGGTGAAGCAGTCAATGAGAGACGAGCACAGGGAAGCATTTGGGGGACACAGGCAAGCTATGGAAAACCAGAAGCAAGGAAACTACTGAGGGGAGAGGAAGTTCTGGGATAAACTTCCCCTTATATTACCCACATGTGTGTAAAACCCACGCAGCTGTTCAGTCACAGGGTGTTGAGTGTGTTTGGGGTCTGGCTTTTTGTCTGGGTTGTGGGGTTTTTTTGTTTGTTTGTTTGTTTGTTTTAAACAGCTGATCTGTGGGTTACACACATAAAAATACGGTCACTGCAAGTTACAAAAATAAAAATGAAACTCATTTGTTTTTAAGCTATTTTGTTTGAAATATCAAATGGTTTTCATTATTTGTAATTGCATCTTATATGTACTGTTTTATAAGAAAAATAAAACAGTTCTTACTAAAAATCATTTACAACCTAAAGCTTTTTCTTTCAATATGCAGAGCTGCTCTGGGATGCGTTAAATATCTTGAACTCCCATTACTGCAATAAGACTGGAAGAAGAACAGCACTTTGCAACGAGGCCAAAAATTAAAGCACGGACAACAACGAACTGCTATCAAACACCAGGCACGGCACAGAACAGGGGAAAATACAAAGATGGTGGCGAGGGGTATAAGAACAAACGTCCAGTAGAAAAAAGAATGTGACGTTTCCAACATAACACAGGATACAGTTTCGGACGCACATTTTCAAATGTGACTTCTGAGACTTTGTCACCCCTAAAGTTGACAGCAGAATAGGTAGTACCTGGTATCATACATAGCTCCCTGAATAAGTAAGTTTTGAGATTAGTCTTGCAGGAGAGAGTGAGATGCCTAAAAGGAAAGGACTGCCCGCCCACAGCGACACCTGAAAAATGTCTGTAGAGGCACAAAGGCAGCAGAGAGATGAGGGGCTGGGGGTCAGAGGAAAGGTAAGGATAAGCAAAGTCACGGAAGCAGGAAATTGAAACTAGGTTCGCAAACTATGCATTTAATACCTCCCTCACAGCACGCTCACAAAATTCATACGAAGGAAAAAAAAAAATAAAGCAAAGCAGCGACACTGTTAGCAGGCTTCCCCAGAGCAAATTTTGGCTACCTTAAACATCATGCAGCAACCAGAGTTTCTCCCTTGCTTAATCTCCTCACACTCTCAAACTGACTATTTCTATTTCTTTTTCCACAAGAGGTGAAACTTTCCCTGTAACTACAATAGTTGAAACTCATCTCACTGTTGTGGCAATCAGCACCTGCCTACCCTTTTCCAAACCAGCTGCTACAAGAGCAGACTCCCAGTGCTTGACTGTGCAATTGGATCCTCGTTAGCCATAAGCAGATCTGTTCTCCTTCACTCTCAGTAGTATATTTACTGAAGTAGGATGACTTCACCCCAGGATGAGCAATACCAAAACTCCTTTGGTCACACACACACAAACCCCTCCATTCACATTTTCCTACCTGTCAACATATTAAGAAACAGTAACAACTACACCAGTTTCACGTATTATTTGCAAGAGTTGCCAGCTTTCACTGTCACTCATTTCAAGGTTGGAAGGAATGCAGAATACTTGTAATTGCATTATGGGAGACGATTGATCATCACTACTTGTACTATGAACTAATTTTTACCATTAGAAATATTTATAAAGGCTGAAACAACACAAACTTACTATGTGGGCCTTGAAGTGCATTATCCTCAGTGGTCTATGTAATTAAAGAAAGAAAAATCAAAACCATATTCTATTTTGACAGATAGTCTGCTAGCTCATCTTTACCTGTGAATGATGACAATTGAAACAAGGACAAATTAGGGTTCTAATATTATTTACTCAAACCTTCAGATGAAACCTGCAATCTGACATACTCATATACTATCATAACTTTTGGATAGGTTTGTGAAGTTCAAACTGCAGTCCCAGCAGCTTGATCATCCAGACTCAGTTATCTAGAGAGCAAGCCACAGTGCCTTTCTGAGCTGTGCTTCTGGGTTTCTTTCCCATGAAAATCAGGTTATGGTGGGAGGAGGAGGTGAAAGCATGTGGACTTCATCCTGACACAGAACCAGGATGCAGACAGGACAGACACCTCCAGCCCAAGAGCTGGAAGCTCTTGTAATATTCAGGTAGTCATTATTGTCACTAAAAAAAATATTGCCACAGCTAAAGATTTTACAGTTCATCGGTCATCCTCCAAACAGCACCAAAATCTTCGTATCAGCCTAGAACTCTACTCACATGCCTCATCCCATCCTTCCTTGCATTAATTATGATACTTGGGACTGGTACCGAAAGAGCGGCTCTGGACCTGTCAGGCTAACTCCTGTGCTAATGCCTCCCTGCAGACTAACAGTAGCAAAAAGCTTCAACAAAAAGGTTCATGTGCATTTGTGGGTGGCAGCTCAATACCGAAAAGACTAACTTAGTTATTTATAAACAGAATTTTCTCTGATTTCTGCTATTACCAAGATCAAAAGGCCTCAAACCTCAGGCATAGCAAGAAGGTAGGAACAGAGCTGTGCTTTGGCAACTACACCTAACACAGATCAGACCGAAAGCCACTTTCCTCTCAAATGAACAACCGCAACCAAAGATGTTACTCTACTGCTGTCTCCTCTCCAAATGCAAAGAGGCTCGTGTCACCATGCAATGAACCAAATCAACCTGCTAGATGTTTTAAACAAACGGTACAAGTTTCTAAAACATACTTAAAAACAAGCTGCTCTATAAAGGGCAACAGAATATCCCTGCTTGTTATTTCATCAGCTAACATGTGTGCTCCTGTAGGGCACCCACCGAGTGATGAATTCACGCTTCTCTTCCACTGTAAGTTACTGTTCACAACAGAACTCTCTGAGCTAAAAATCTCGTAGCATTTTACTATTCTCTGCTTCCTTGGCAGGACTCTCATATAAATAAGATTAGTGCAGTCAGGCATTAGATTTATAAACCAGAAAAAACAAATAAGGAGAAAGTTTTCACGCTCTTCTTTATAGGCCAGTTTCAGAAACATACACACAAAGCAGTGTAACAGATTGAAACGCAATTGTTAAAAAACAAACAAACAAAACCAAAAACAAACCAACCTCCAAAACAAACAGAAAACTGGTATCAAAACACATATAATCTCTGGAGGCCCCCCTACCTGGAAACTACTTAATGTCATCCAAGCATTCACAAAAGTACTGTCGGCCACCTAAACAGCCATTCCACTGCTCCATCCAGAGCCTCCGAGGACAGCTACAACACACACAGGCACACTTCAGTCCCTCACCTTCCCCCACCCTCCTCAGGGAAGGAATCGACACCAACCTGCAGTTGGGAGGTGGATCTAAGGTGATGTCAGCCAATTCCTTCTGAATCCTGTGGCAATAAAAGCAAGAAGAAACAAAGGTAAGTCACTGTGTGGGATAGCAGTTAACACATACGCCTTACAGACATACTGTCACCGCGAGTTTGCAACACTACATAAGAGAGAGGCACTCTCAGCTGCAGCCTCCCACCAGTCCAAACACACGAAGCAGGACAGGCACCCTGTTACAGAGACGGTCAGAAAAGCAGACAGGCACTGTGCACTGAACCCAGGCAGGGTTGTATGCTCCCATAAAGATGCCAACCACACAGGGGCAGTGGAAAAGCCTGCCTGCTTTACTCTGCCAACCAGCCTGTAAATGAGGGAAAACCTCTGCAAACGTGATGCACCAAGTGCTAGGAGGAAACTGCAGTTTGAAAAGGAATTTTGTCTTGCTGGATTGAGAGAAACAGTCATCGCCAAATTGGCTCCCCCCCTCTTCCCCCCAGCTTCCCATCACCATTCTGAGAAAAAACACCAGCCCCAAGGGAGTGAATAACTGCGCCATTCCCAAGGACACTTAAAGGAAGGTGAATATCTCTTTCCGAGGCTCCTGCACATTCCTGCCAGCTTCAATGCTCCCCTCTCTTCACCCTCAATAGCCGCACAACATCCCCACGTCCCCTTCCTCAGGACTCCAGACGCTCCCTTGCTTCACCGCGTTCAGACAACACCCTGTCCTCCCTGCCCAGACTATTCTGGGCTCACGCTGCTTTTGCCACAAAACGCCCAACCAGCTATCATCCCCTTCCCTGGAGTCCCATTACTGTCACTCAGGCTTCCCCTCCAGATTTCCCCACCCAGCACTCAGTCTGCCTCCTTTCTCCGTTAAACTCAGCCAGCATCTTCTGCCTCTCTTCCACTTGTCATACATGAGAACCACAGCCTTTTCATATTAGGCAGTTTACAATCTTCTTTTTAAAATAGTTAAGGGCACGACATGTAAACACCGCTTGCCACTATCTATGTCAGTTTGCCATGGAAACCTGCTGAGTGGAGATCTGGAATAACCAAACTGCCTAAATTCTACAAAGCCACAGATAACTTAGTTGCGATGACAGGGCATTTGCATAAAACCCCAGTCACTTTTGACACCTCCAGATACAACCTCTCTGTGCTGCTTGGAAAAGCTGTTGAGTGAGATGGTTTATTATTCTTGCTGAAGTACTGCAAGTTTGCTTGAAAACTTCCATTTGTCAGCTTAGCTCCCTGGAGCAGGATGGTGCTGAATTCAGGTGAAACACAGAATAAATAAGAAAGGGTAACAATTTATTTTTTTAAAAAAATGAGTGGCTCCAAGAGTCTATTCAGGTGAAAAAAACTGACTGGCATAGCTGTTCTGGAATTACTATTCTATGCAGGCATCTCTCCCCCATGTAGAAATTATTCCGGAATAAAAATAATTTCATTCTCAAAAAAAACCAACCCACTCTGTGCTTTGAGCAAAGGTTATTTTAGAGCAGAATGTCCACAAGTGGACCTGCTGTGGGTTATTTATTCTAGTCAACATCCAGCCATACACAGAAAATTCAATATAAGTGATGAGCAAACAGAAAAACAGTAATATATTTGGTGGAAAAGATTTGGGGCTACATCACACCAATTGCACTGGAGTGCACTCCCCCAGCGCAAGCAAACTCAAAACTCTTCACAAACATTAATTAATCCCCAAAGCAGTCCTGGAAAGAAAAAAGCCACTCTAGATCAATCCCAGCCTACAGAGAGGGAAACCGACGTTGAAATGCAATGCCTTACTCAGGACCATACAGTGTCCAGTAGCAGAGAAGGAATTAAGGTCCTACATGCCCATCCTACACCATCCCTAAAACTGATGCTAATAAGGAAAAAGGAAAAGACAGTGGAAATAATGAGGGACAGAATAACAGCCCAGAGGAAGAAAAGACAGGAAAATATTTGGGAGGGAACAGAGAAAGAAGCAGGGAGAGAGACCAGAGGGCAGTGAAGTTGGGCAGACACTCGCTGCACCGAGACACTGAAAAAGTGAGACAATGGCAGCTTCGTGTGGAAAGGCTGAGCATAAGGGCTAGAGATGAGGAACGGGAGCAGCAAGGGAGCAGCGGGGGAACAGAGCAAAATAAAATGAGGAAGGAGAGAAGATGCAGCAAATCAGTGAGAAAACTGACTGCAGCCTCACCTCTTGGCACTGGTAGATAGCAGCTTAGAGTTTTTACTCATGCTGACTTTGCTTTCCTTCTTCTTAGGCGTGCTTGTCTCTTTCTCTGTCTGTTGGTTGGAGGATGAAGATGAGGAGGAGCTGGTGCTGGCCCTCGAATCGTCATCCGACATAGCGACCCCCCCACCACACACCCCAACCTGGAGAGGAGACACCATGGGGCGTGGGGAACAAACAGTGAACACAAACACACAGAGAAAGGCCCCTGACAATCTCGCTCTGTGTTTGGGTCATGCTCCTTTTAAAGGGCCCTCGTGTCTCCCTCTCTTCTTCAGGCCCTACAGTCGACGCAGGAGGAGCAGTAGCCTCCCCTGCACTAGGAACGCCGAGGAGCAAGGGGAAAGGGACTTTTAAAGCTTCCTCTCAGAAAGCAAGTGCGAGATGAGAGGAGGAGACTGGAAGGAGAACGACTGCAGGGATCAGGGAAGCTCAAAGCAATTCCTTCTAATCTCCCCCAAACTGCACACACCAGAGGAGCCATCACCACCCACCACTATCCAGCCTAGGGGTGCAGGAGATAAAAATGGAACAGCTCCGGTCCCTTGGGTTCCCGGGAGGCACATGGGGGAGGCGAAAAGGGACAGGGCTGGGGGGTGACCATCGCCAGCACTAAAATGGAAGTGGGGCATCACTAGCAACAGTGGGGAGACCCCGAAGGAGGATCTGGGACCTGCGGCGGGGAAACCCCTGCCTGCTGGATATCCCCTGCCTGCTGGATCGGGTGTTGGGAGTGAGGGGGGGGACGGGACGAGGGACCACACGGGGACGGGGACGACAGGGAGGAGCGGAATGAAGGGGAACAGCTAAGGATGGAGCGGGGTGCACGGAGGGGACCCGCCGAGGCCCGCTGCATCGAGGGGCCTGCCAGCCAAGGGGGACGGGA